GAGGTGCAAGTCAGTGAGCAGCACTCTTCTGTGGCTTCTGCAACAGTTCTTCCCTTCAGGTTTCTGTCCTGCTTAAGTTCCTGACCTGACTTCCTCTGGTGATGAACTGTGATGTGGAAATATAAGCTGAATAACAACCCTCAAGTTTCTTTGGTCATGGTGGTTCATCACAGCAACAGTAACCCTAAGACACCTACACAGCTGTGAAACCTATGAACTATGACTGTCAGTATTGCAAGATATCCCTAAGGTGCAATGGCGATACTTATATCTTGGTGGTAACTAAAAACTGCCTACGTGGACTTAAAGGTCACACAAAAGGAAGGAAATAATTTCTTGTTCTGTAGACCTAACTAATTCCCCTTAGCTAGTGAGGTCATGGATCTTAGAGGAGATTCTATTATTGTCACTTCACTAAACTAGTCTAATCCCTCACTGCATTCTAAATACTTCACAGATACCTACTCTACCACTCTGTGTATTACTCCCTTGAGACAAGGTTTCTCAGTCCACCTGGACATAGACTGGCAGCCAACAAGCATGGTGTTTCTCTTGTCACAGGCTCATGGCCACACACGGCTTTTTTCAGAAGTACTGGAGATTCAAACTTAGGTCTTCATGCTTCAGCAACATGCCCTCTTATCCACAGAGATCTTATCCACCATAAATAGATTCTTTTGAAGCAGATGGAAACCATTATCTAAAGTCATAACTGGTTAAAATGCAGAGATAGTTGACTGGTGAGATAAACAACTCCTCTGAGGCATCTACAACACAACCTTCACCTAGTATTCAGGGAAAATTGTGGAAGAGGAGAGAAATAATTGTAAGAGCCAGAAAACTGGGAAGTCTGCTGTTGTGTCTAAAAGATGATGTAGGGAAACTGCACCCATGAAATCTCAACAGTAAGGCTGATTAAAGAAGACATGACTTGGGGCTGGAGAGATGGCTCAGTGGTTAAGAGCACTGCTTGTTCTTCCAAAGGTCCTGAGTTCAATTCCCAGCAACCACATGGTGGCTCACAACCATCTGTAATGAGATCAGGTGCCCTCCTCTGGCCTGCAGGCAATGTGCAGACAGAACACTGTACACACAATAAATCATAATAGATAAATAAATCTTTAAAAAAGAAGACGTGGATATGTTGTTGTGGACAGGAGTATCTCACAGGTCCCATCCTTAGGTGAAGAGCTGTGGTTACTTAGTCACTGCAGAGAAGGAGCATTAGTCTTTCCCAGGGATGATCTTCTAATGGTTATCCAGTATTAGGTGGTCTCCAGAAGCCCTATAATCATAATCATACAAGCAACACTACATGCACTCAGAAATTGCATGTAAATATTTATTGAATATATATATATATATATATATATAGTCATTCTAAAAAAATGAGACACACCTTTGTTTCTTAAGTTTGGTTTTCCTTAGAAAATTCTCCACTCCAATTCCACTAATGAGTTTTGTTTTAATATTCTTATGACCAGAGGTTAGCAAACTCCATTGAAACACACACACACATACACACACACACACACCACAACTCAGACACACAAAGAGAAAGAGAGAGAGAGAGAGAGAGAGAGAGAGAGAGAGATCTATTTGGCCAATTTTTGCCAATCTCAGCTGGACACTTGTTTTTTAAGCTGAAAATAATAGAGGTAATAGTTATGAGAGTAAACACTCAGATAAAATCAGAAGAACATTTCAAGTCAGGCAAGTATATGACATTCAAAACTTAGTGTTTAGTGTTAGAGGAGCGACCATGAAGGAAAGGAGGAAATCTGAAGGGAGGTGAGGTAACAAGAAAGGCTAACAGAGCATGTGGGTCATGAAAGCGGGGAGACCATCTGGGAGAGGAAGAGGCCGGAAGAGAGGGGGACAGAGGACAGACAGCAAGGGAAAAATAAGAACAACGGTTGCTGACGCATACATACCAAAATGCCACGGAGCCCATCTCTGGATGCCAATCAAAATGGTGAAAGAAATAGCATGGCATTGTAGCCACAGCAAAACTCCAAAATAAAACAAATAGTCATGCCCATAAACACAGCATGGAGCACAGTTGGGTCAGAGTATGACCATTCAGCATGACAACATGACAGAGTTGTTCTGTCTTCAATTCTGTCTTTGAGACTGTGTCAGCAGAGCTGTACAGGTGTGACAGACCCACAAATCCTACAGAATTAGCCATCATGTCCGTTACTCAGAGTTTCCCACTTTTTTTTCTCTTGATATGTCACAAAGCATGCCATGTGGATTGAGCCTTTACTATGAAGATGTTGGATGTTGCATCATTCAAGTTCTGGCATTAGACACCCTATTGGAACTTAGAGTCAATGAAAAGTGCCTTTCTCCTTAATTGTTCTTTCTCCTTGCTGATAATACAGAACCCATTTCCCCATCACCCTGCCTGTCACAATCTTCTAATCCAATGAGCTGTTTAGTTACAACAACTCTTTAGTTCTCATAGCTTCATACTTGCTATTTTCATTCTTTTTTTTTCCTTGTGTGTCAATGTTGTTTCTTGGTTTATAATTTTTTTCTTTTTTCTTTGAATTGGAAACAAGATTGTTTTACATGTCAATCCCAGTTCCCTCCTCTCTCCTCCTCCCCTATAAACCTCCCCCCGCAAATAAAACCTTACCTATCAGATATCCTTTTTGCTCACCTGGAGGGTGAGGCCTTCCATAGGGTGTCATCAGAGTCTATTGCTATTTTCATTCTTAAGGTTACTGTGTTTCACAGATGTTATTGCATTTGAATCTTTCTATTAGATACCTCAAGTCCTTCCTATTTTTCTTCCTCCCTTTCTGTTCTGAGTGGGGAGCAGTGGGACTGATTAAGTCAGTAAGTCTTGTCATTAAGTAAGTGACATGAGCTTCTCAAGGTGAAGCATATTTTGAGGCCCTAGATTCTACAAGTTACGGCAAGCTGGCAGCGAAAGAAATGCTTTTCTTTCAGTGTTACTCAGGTTTCAAGGTGGCATCTCCTAGCCAAGAGAGGCAATATTGCTCAAGGTCAGGCCCTTGACACTTAGAGCCTGTGCATCTCTTGTTTTGGTGTGACTGTCCTCATTGCCTTAATGTCAGAGAGAGGGAGTCAGAGGTGTTAAGTGTATGAACTGTGACAGTGTAGGCTGAATACAGTTCTTCCAAGTGAGCCTTCACTTCTCTAAGCCTTGCTTTTCTTGTCCCGAAGTGGCACAGTAACAGTCTTCCTCTCAAGTGTGTGTGTGTGTGTGTGTGTGTGTGTGTGTGTGATTTAAGCGCAAGTGAGATGCAAGTGAAGCCCTGGACACAGGGCCTAACATGAGTGCATGCTCAGCAAACACCTGATGACCCTGTGACCAATGGGAAGTGAGTGATGAGGGGGTCCTCTCTGTCAGTTCCCTGCCCAGGGATTGTTTTACATGTCCTGTGTTCTTGTGCTGGAGAAGACACTGCCCATTATTTCAAGGGCCTCCTGGGAGCAGTGCTGAGCTCATCAGTGAGAATCTAGGGGCAGGATCTCTAGGCTGCTCTCTAACGCTCTCCAGGTCCAGGATGCTATGCTGGCACTTTGTCCCAGGGGATTGAGTTTTTTTGCTTCACCTTAAGAAGCTCATATACTTGAGCTCAGTGAGATTAGACTTTCATCTGGAGGCCCCCTCATCCCAGGAGTTTCCTGATGACTGTGCTATGGGTTGGAAGGGGGTCCCCAGGCCTCAGACACCTACTCTGATGTTGGAAGATTGGTTGTGGCTGTAAAAGTTTAGTGAAGGTGTGGGTGGGGCTCTCTCAGTGAGAAATGACAGGAAGGAACAGTTCCAATTCCCACAGTGCTTCAGACACTTACGTTTTGAACTCTCTCTATGATCCTGTGAGATTGCATGGTGGTTAGCATTGTCAATGTCACAGAAACAAAGCGCCTAGCAGAAATGTCCCTGGGAGGATGTGTGTGGGTAGGTTAGATTAATTGAGGTGGGAAGGCCCACCCTAAGTGTAGATGGAACCATGCCAAGGGCTGGAGTCCTGGACAAATAAAAAGGAGAAACTAACTGAGAAACAGCATTCATCTCTTTTTGTTTCACAATTAAACACAATGGGACAGCTGTCTCAGTCTCTTGTAGGTATTGAATTTCAGCCATAAATGACTAAATTATCAATCAGTGGAAAATAACCCCTTTATATTTTAAATTGGTTTTGTCACACTAATATGATAATTAACTGATATCCTTGGCTTAATAAATTTTAATGAGATACATCATGCAGTTCAGGTTGTTCTTGATCTCAGGCTCCTACAGTGTAATGTTTGATAGGTAGACTGGGCACTGAAGGGAGCGAGAAGACCCATGAGGATGTAGGGTTTTCACAGAGCAGCAAGGGTTGAATGAGGAAGAACTAATTTCCCAGGCTCCCATGGAACTAGATTCCAGTCCTGCTTCTGTCTCTAGTGTTGTGAGCTAGGAGAAGTTAACTCCTTTCCTTAGACCCTGTGCAATGGAGAGAGGTCACTACTTTGATGCCTGAGAGGAGGAAGGTGCAAGGGGCGGCCTGTGTATGCTGAGTAAGGAAAGTCAGCAGAAGAAACTGTCTGAAGGTGAGGCAGTGGCTTTCCTTCTTCTCATAGGGTCCTTCTCAAGGGAAGAGACCTTCTTGGAACTCCAGGAGCTGCAGGACTCTGGGCTTTCAGAACCCACACATACTTTGAGTTCAATTGTGGGTGACATTTGGGCTAGGCTGACTGCTGACCCCCATGGTTTTTCAGTGTCTTCATGTGTCAAATGCAGCTTCAACATTGTAGACCTCACAGACATCATTTCTAGCCTGTGACTCTTAGCATTCCTCCATGGTTCCACTTATCTTCCACTTTAGTTGCCTGTCCCAGGTCCACACACAGGTGGAGACTCACCTGTGAATATCCACCATCTATATGTACTAGAAGTCACATTCCCCGGTGCCACCACATACATTTGGTTCTGAATCCTGACTAATCAGGTTCCCATTTAACAATCCCCTTACCTGATATTGGGATGTGCTTCATCCCCAATTCTTGAAAGGTGTTTTGCAATGTCAACTAAGATTGTAGTGGTATCCATGTAAGGTGTGAATGTTGAGCCTAAAAGTTAAAGAGAGGGCCATGGGTTATGTGACTGTCAGAGAACCAGCAGTAATGGTCAGGGTAGCAAGGCTGGAGTCCTATCTGCTTACCCTCACACCCTACTCTACTCACTCACAGATGCTTTTACATCTCCTGCAGAGACATGTTCCTGACCTGGGACAGTGAAGTTCACACACATATGCTGGTCTACTCTAGTCCTCTTTGTGAGTCTCTCCATTCCTCTCTGGGCTTCAGCCACCCCACCCCCAATTGGCTTCTGAGTTTCTATCTGAGAGGGCCAGGTAGGATCTCATTGTGTAGTTCAGGGTTCATATCTGGAAAAGAAACCAACTTGGATCTCCAGGACGTCCATGACCCCCTCCCCTGCCCACTCATACTTGAAGCTAAATTCTAGGTGCCAGTTGGGCTAGGTTCACCATGCTGACACTCATGGTTTCCAGTTTCTCCTTGTGACAAATGCATTGCATAGTCCAGAGCAAACATTTCTTGTCTGTGACTCTGAGCCTTCCACCATGGCTTCTCTGCTTTTATTTCATTCTTTTATTTGGGTCCCCATACTGGGGGTACCTGTATGATGTGAAGAACAATTACCTAAGTGAACTTTAAGTTCCTTTCACTCCTTCAATTTTAGTTCATCCTTATTTCTGCATACAGACTGCTCAAGTTCCCCCTTTACAAGTTTTTTTTTTGTTTGTTTGTTTGTTTTTTGTTTTTCAATCTGTGAGTGACTTGAGATTCACGGTCTAAGCCCAGTAGTTCTGATGAGATGCTCTGGCTAAAGAACTCCATGTTAAATTCCTCTTGTAGCCTGAAATGAAGAAGAATGGGCTCTGGGAAGGAAAGAGTTGTGTGGTTGTCAGAAAGACAGAGGTTGGAGTCAGGGGATCCAGTCTGTGTCCTTCCTGCTCACACTCACAGCCTTCTTCACAGTCACGTGGGAAGAATGATGCTCTCAGAGTTCCTGCTGAGAAATGGTCCTGCTCTGGGACCATGGATCTCACACATCTGTCCTGTCTCTGCACTAGTCCTCAGTGGGAGTCTCTAGTCTATTCTGTGAACTTCAGCTCCCACATGTGGGGCTCTGAGCTTCTGTCCCACAGGGCTACAAACTACAATGATACCAGTACCTGCAATTGTATGGACTTGTGCTTATTGTACTGGACCATTAATTGAATATTGTCCTGTTTAATAGTCAATATGGATCATCACTTTATTTCCACTGCCCAAGGAAACAGGCTTTTACCCTCTTCTTATTTCCCTGATGGAGACATGGAGGCTGAGGGCTCTAAAGTGACTTTTCCAAGGTGGTAGAGCCATGACTGGAGTCTGCCTCTGTCCAGCTCTAAAGTCTGGGCTTGCAACTCAAGTGTCACCAAACCCTTCTTTTGGGAGCTGGCTTGAACTTGTGCTCACCCCTCTCAGAGCCATTCTGAATGCCTGTCTCACCCCACTACTCCAGCTTCAGAGTGCTCCTCCCCAGGGGCCCGAGGATGCACTCCTGGTGAAGAGGGGGGGGTGCCAAGTTTCCCTTAGGGGTTTCCGCATGCCTCCTGGGTCCAGACTTTCCAGGGCGTGTGAATCTTTTTGACGGGAGGCTAGCCTGTCCGTGGAAACCCTGGCAGGAGGGCTCAGTAGCAATAAAAGGGTGACAGTAATTGTGGGTTGGGGCCCTTTGTGTACTTACTTTGCATCAAGTCCTTCTCTGCCTCGGCTTTCGTTCTCTGCACTTCCAGGTTTATTGGCTCTCTCATCTCGTAGTCAGGGTCCAAGACCTGTTTATCCTTATGTTGAGCCTCCTTGGTGCCACCCACTATCTTGGACAGAGCTGCTCCCATAGTGATAGAATCCTCAGATGATGCTCGCACTGGTCCTGCTTCACTTCTCCCTTCGGTTGTTGCTCCAAACAGGAGGCCAGGGCTTTCTTGTCTCTGACAGCTGTTTCTGCTTTGGTAAAGGGTGTTTGATCAGGATTGATGGAGGAGAGCTGGAAATAAAGAAAGGGTAGGGTAGCGTCTATAGGGACAAATTGTCCTCTGATCAGAACATCTGAAGTACTCAGGTCTCTCCTGGAGATGGAGACTGTGTGTCCAGGTGCATGGGCTTGGACTCTACAGTGCAGAAGAGGGAACTCTGGGAGGAAGGTTTATCAGTGGATTCATTCTTTATAGTTTCATGAATGATGCCAATGGATGTTCTCTACCGTGTTGGCTTTGCTGTCAGGCAGGTGTGCTTGTCATTATGCTGAGTTGGAGGGGGGTTCAGTTTGTCTAAAGTTTCTTCTTTTTGTTTATTAACACCATCTATCTGACCCCGAGGACCAATAAAAAGAAGGGGAGTTTATTCTTTCATCATCTGCTTCCTGCAGGAGGGGGATGACAGAGGTGGGGCTAGGATCTGTCCTCGGGGCTTAGTGGGACAAAGGTTGGCTTCATGAACCAGGAAAACAGTTCTAACTTGATCTGCTGCAGTGTATCTTGTTGTTGTCGTCATTCACTCCTGAAGAAACCTTTAAAAATAGTTAATAGACAGGGGCTATAGTGAGTAAGATGGGATTGAGATGGGCGACCCAGGAAGCTCCTAGCCAGGGTAACCATTGTCCTCATGTGGACCTGTGAAGCCCATGATTTTCTCCAGGAAGAACTTGTGTAAAACTTTTAAAGGACAGGGTAAAAATGGCACATAAAGATAAAGAGGAATGGAGTGATCTACGGGAGGAGACAGAGTGGAGGGGGAAAAAAGCCCATCCTTAGGAAGATGCCTGTCACTAAATCACTGTCTGGTCCTTAGTTAAGTCTTTGGCCCTCTCGACCAGCCTGGGTTTGTTGGTGCCGTAGCTGCACTGTTCCTAGAGGAGAGCACAGTTCCCACCACTAGCAGCAGACAGGAGACCTATGTCTCTTTAACTTTGAGAGACACAGCATCAAACACTTGTCTCAGGCATAGCCGTGGAAAGTGATGGAGAAGAGGAGTGGGAAGGTGGACATCTGGGGAATGGAGGGTGGCGAAATGTAGGGATGGGAAAGCAAGGGATGGAAGGAGGCAGGACATGAAACATGACAGCTGGGAGGATTAGAGGATGCTAATCAAGGGGGAAGGGTTGGGGATGGAGGAAAGGGGAGTTGGAATTACAAGGACAGGAGCATGAGAGGATCTGAAGACAGGCATGGAGGATGCAGGGATGGAATGAGCAGGACACTCACTATTCCATGTTCTTCATCCTCTTCCTTTTCTAGTGTCCCACTCTAAAACTATCAGTCCTTCAGCCATCACTGTGACAGAGGATGAGGTAGGGAGAGGCAGCACAGTGGGGACTCAAGAGCCCAGTCTGAGTTTAGGCTAGGCCCTGTGAAGGAATCTTTAGAAGTCTCTTGTCCCTGGCACTACACAGAGCCTTAGTAGGCTCTGGATTTGGGAGGACAAATTACTCTAGAAACCCAAAGATCCCCATGGACAATGTGGAGGTTAGGCTGACCCAAGACTTTCTCAGAGGCTCTGATGAAAGGACAAAGTGAACATTAGAGCTGTGTCCTTGTCTCAGAGTGGACTTGGCAAAGCTGGCCTAATGTTGGAGCTAGTGTCCTAAACGAATTGAAGTTGTAGCTTCCGGGTTCCCAACTCTTCCCCCTGGGGTGTGGCTATCAGTCCTAAGGCAGCAGTGTCCGAGGGCTCATGTTATTTTTGCAAACATTGTCTGACTTAGCTCTGTGCTGACCTTGGCCACCTTCCCTTGCAAATAGCCTATACGAGGCTGTACGTTTTAATAAGTTTGTATGGCATGAGTCATAGGATTATGCAAGAATTGCTGCTCCCAGCTATTGCTTTTGTCTTCTTTATTTCTCTTTCCTTCTCCTCCCTCTTAATACCTCACTATTAATGACCCTTATTCCTGCAGCTTTAGGTCAGACAGGAGAGAGGAGGGTGCAGGATAGGCTATGACAGGAGCAGGCACATGAAGTATACAGGTGAATCCAGCAACCTCCTGCCCACCAGATTTGGGCATTAGAGTCTTCCAGCAGGGGCTGGAGCCTGGGCCCTGGATATCAGCATGAGGTCCCTGTCTAACACAGTATACTCTAGTGCAGTCAGGGCAGCACTTACCTTCCTACTCAAATGGTTTGGTGGAGTCTGTTGGTCCCACTACTCACCCTGCTCTTCTCCAGTGTTCACTGGCCAAGGTTCCTCAGCTAGAAATCCTATTCTGTGAAAGTGAAAGAGACTCTGGCTCCTCCAGGAAGCTACACATCAGAGTCTGCGCAGATGCTCTTCTTCTGAGCTCTGAGAATGTAGGTTGAATATTATTCAGCTCATTTCCTGTTGTGAAATTTCTGCAGGTGCCTGGGCTGGATGAGTACCATTGAGAGCTTCATCCAGGCCTGCAGAGGCCCCCCCTGCCTCCTGAGTCAGGACTCATGCTTGAGTCTCAGTTCACTCATCTACTAAAGTGGGGCCTCCCAGGTGTGCCAACAAGTCCCAGTTCAGCAGTAGCTCCTGGATCTCCCAGATTTGTGGATCTCTGCAGGTCTCTCTCCTCCCTGTAGGCTGCCCGGCCCACAGGCTCTTCATTTCAGGAACTGGCTCTCAGGCTCCAAACCCTGGGTCATTTCTCACTCCTGGACTCTCCTAAACCTCAAATATGGTATTTGGTTCCTACCTACATATTTTTTTTTGCCTGTTGGCGTGTGTGTGTGTGTGTGTGTGTGTGTGTGTGTGTGTGTGTGTTCATTTTGGCTGTGCTGAGATGCCTTGGTGGTGTGAGTAAAAATGGCTCCACGGCTCATATGTCTGAATGCTTGTCCTCAGTTTGTACAACTGTTTGAAGAGGATTTGAAGTGTGTCTTGTTGGGGGAGGTGTGTCACTAGGGGCTGGCTTTGAGATTCAAAAGCCCACACAGCCCCCTCCCTGTCTGTCTGCCTTGTGCTCAGGCACAAGCAAGGAATCAGGAAGCAAGCTCTCAGCTACTCCTCCAGCACCGTGCCTGCCTTCTTGCTGCTGTGCTCCTAGATATGATGGTCAGAGACTCCATCCATGAACACCAAATGACATCTTTTAATTTCCTGTTGTTCCTTTTTTCAATCTGTCCCATTTTCTTGATCACTAGAGTCCTCTTCAGAGAGGCCTTGGCTCTGCCTGCATCAGGAAGTGCTTGCCCCACTCCCCTCTAGTAGATCCAGGGTTTTGTCCTGTGTTAATGTCTTTGGTGCATTTGGAGTTGAGTGCTCTGCTCTGCAGGGTGAGGGGAGAGGCTCATTCTTCTGCATGAGGGTATTGAGTTTTTAGCACCACTTGTCAACAAGGCTTTCTCTTTGCTGATTAATAAATACTTTTGTTACCACTGAGTATTTTTGTTTGTTATTTTGTTTTACAACAACAAAACCATTATTTTTATCATCTAAAACATTTTCTATCCAAAACATTTTTATTCAATAGATTGTTTTAAGCTAGAACATATTTGGTAAGTTATTCAAGAAATACATCGTAATAATTTCAAGCTGTGTTACTGTAGTATGAAAACACTGCCAGGGTACATGATTACCATAAAACTTGACTGTTAGATTCATAAATCTTATTCTGTGATCCCAGTGATCTTAGTAGTTTGAAAACCACACACTTGTTACATGTACTTTGTAAAATCATTTTTAATTGCTCTTGGGTTGTTTAGACTTAAGACAAGGAAAGAAACATTAAATAAAATTAAATTTCTTGATTTTAAATAATCTGATAATGTTTTAAACAGCAGTTCATTATATACATTTTCACTCTCAGTTAGCATTTGCATCTTGTGTGTAGCCTTATTTGTGTTTGTTCAAATATTTGTTGATGAACTCTTGTGTGACTTCTGGGGAGATGTAAAATTGACAACAGTTCCTAACTTCTGACCTCTCCATTGCCCAAAGATGACTCCTTAGCTCAGAGGCATTTATGGGAACCCCTCCCCTGAAGTTGCCCCACCCTCTGTCACCAAGTTCTTATTACCTTTGGCTGTCTGCTCTAGAATTGACATAAACTTTGGTTCCTAGTGTCACCTAGTGTCAAAAAACCAGAGGTGACCCCAGGCTCACACTGCTTTTTGTGTTCATGTATAGTATGCTCTTGCCTTTATCAGGCACTGTCCATCTTGGGAAGGTTTGCTTGTTTCGCTAAAGTCAGGTATGTTGGGAGCCACAGTCAGGCTTGAAAGATGGATTGACAAGGATTCAGAGGTCTGGGTCATTCAGCAGCTGTGTCCAGACCCAGCATATCTGCCACATCTGGAAGGAAGCACAGCACACTTGTTAAAGCAAAACATGCTTGGCCATGACTTTTCATGCAACCATGAACCTGTGGCAGCTCCTGCCATTAGAGCTTATGGACAAGTGTATAGGATGAAGAATCAACATTGTGATGAAATGGTAAAGATATTAATGCACTTTGAAGATTTGATGACTTTGTCAATATGGTGTTGGAATATGTCACAGTTTGAAATTATACCAGAAGAAAGAAGGATACAAAATTAGACCAGAAGTGACTAAATGGAAATTATGTAACAGTGCTGGCTCCTGGAGGAGAAGAGCCTGAAGTAAAAATGGATTTCCTTGAGTTATGCTAGAGTCTGTATTCTTTTAAACTGTTAATATTTAGACTCCACAAAGATAGTTTCCATTAAAGGAAAGTATTTTGAAGTATCTATCAGGTCCAAAGGAAACCCCTGTCCCCCAATTTCTAATGCCCATTTTACTCCTGGGGACCATTCCTCCTCATTGTCATAAGGGACAGAAGGCTATCTGTGGTGCCTATAGGCATACTTAGGCCCACGCTGGCCTCTAGGTTCACCCAGTACCTGTGACTCTGCTCAGGTCTTCTCACCCTGCCCCCAGCCTAAACTTCTCCAGCTCATGAATTTCCCTTCCCCAGCTCCCCATTCCTGTTAGCCCCACCCTTTTGGCCATGCACTTTCTTTTTGATCTCTCTCTCTTTTGTCTTCCTCTTTTGATTTCCCTCTCTTGTTCTCCTTGAGCCCTCTCATGACCGAGTCTAGTCTGGCAGCCATGTTTAGTCAACACCTTTCTCTCCCTGATCCGGACCCTTCCCAATACCTCTGGCTGTCCTCTCCCTCATATCTTCAGTAAAACCTTCCCTTCAACCATACCTTGGATTGGCCCTGTCCTCACTTTATACAATATACACTTCTTGTTCTAAGCTAATAATCGTTATTTTTGTAAAAACAGGAGTGGTTTTGTTTTTTCCTAAAAGTGATGAAGATATTTGTGGTTAAAAAAAAGAAAGAAAGAAATGAAAAAAGAGGGTGGAAGTTTGGTCCTACAGGAAATGGCCTGGGATGAGCAACTCAGCAACAATCTGGGCCCAGATCCAGCATGTTGAGTCAGTTCACCCCAACATCTACATCTAAGAGCATCTGGGGCATGTGAAGGATCCATTTCTGCAGACCAAGAGCCACGGGAACACCCTGACTCTAGGTAACAGCAGGATATCCAAGATGAGTGTCAGGGATGGTGCAGTATCTAAGATGTGTGAGACACCAGAAACCTAGAACAAAACCAAAAGCTTATTGTAATGAATATTTGCATGTATAGGTGTTTGAGCAAAAAAATTGCTATGTGACACACTGCCATTTCCAAAGACACCGACGAATGAATATGTGATGCAGAAGTGGGAAAGACGGAGGAATGAAGTGGTGCGGATTTGGTGGAGAGAGGCAGAAATAGCGACACCAGCTGTGATGAGTGTGAGAGAAGGCTTCAGTTGATGGTGGAACTTACTGTTATGCAGTAGTGTTGGAAGGATAGTGAAGAACAGCTCATTTTCTTTGTTGGACCTCCATGAAAGATCTCCATGGTCCATACTTCTCCTGGAGGCCATGTTGGTATTGGTAGTCAATACTGCTGCCTGAGGCAGTGATAAAGTCCCAGGTCAAAATGATGTCCATGGTCTATGCTTCCATCTGAGGCCATATTGATGTCAGTGATCTATGCTGCCACCTGAAATCATGTTGATGTCCATGGTCCATGCTACTGTTGAAAGCCACCTTTGTGTCCTTGTTCCTACTGCAGCCAGGGCCTGTGTTGATATCTGAGGCCCATGTTACCATCGAGGGCCATGAAGGTATGCATCGTCTATGCCACTGCCTGAAGCCATGCTGATATCTGTGGGTCACTGCCGAGGGCCATGTTGATGTCTGTGGTCTGTGCTGCTGCCAGCGGCCATGTTGATGTCCATGGGCCTGGTTACTGCTAGGGTCCATATTGGTGTCTGTGGCCCATGTTACCCCAGAGGCCATGTTGATGCCCTTTGCCTGTGCTGATGATAAAAATTTTGATGGTGTCTGTGGTCTGTGTTTCTGCAGAAGGCTGTCCTGATGTCCATTGTCTGTCCTCTCACAGGAGACCAATTGAGGTCTTTTGCATATGCTGGTTCTGGAGACAATGTGGATGTTCATAGTCTGTGGTATTGCCAGAAACTTCGTAGAATCCCATAGTTCATGCTCCCACCGACTGTTAAGGGCAAGGAAGCCACTTTTGCAGTGATATTGATGACTGCAGATGCACAGTTGATAAAGAGAGACACAGAAGGCTTCTGTGACAACCCCTACCACCATTCTACCACCCCCAAATGTAATAGCAATGTAAAATAAAAGTAAAGTGTGGTTCTCCATGATTGATGAGTTCTGCTGGGGGTGCAGGTGGAGAAGGTCTCAGTTGTCTTTAATAAGGTGGCTACTGGGAGTTTGACCATGCTCCAGTGAGTATATGGGCAACAGAAATTGGACTCATTAAAAAAAAGAAATTGGACTCATATTTTTCCTCTTCTCTCTCTCTGTCTCTTTCCCTTCCTCCTTTCTTTTTTTCTTTCTCTATCTCTATTTCTTTCTCTTGTCCTTACTTCTTTTTTGTAAGAGAGGTCACAGGGGTAGGGATGAACATGGGGTACTGGGAAGTCAGTGTGATTGGGGTATATTATAGATATTCCCAAATAATCAATACAAATATTATGTTGGAAAAACAAGAAGGGAAACCATGTGAGGCATCAGGAGACAAAGATTGTGGTTTTTAATTTTGTAATGTTTCTCCTGGAAGACACAAGATGTTAAATAAAACATTCTACAATGTAAAGAAGGACTAGGCCAGAAAATGCAGCCACCTCTACCCCCACTCACTAACGAAGAAGCAGGTTCCCTCTGCTCTCTGTTGTGACTTTGGTGTCAGGTCACACTGATAAAGACATTTTATTGCTAGCTAAGCCACAGCTGGTA